CGTGTTATTTGTTCCTCAGTTTCCTTTTAGTTTATTTTCCATTAGTAAGATTACCCGTTCTCTCAACTGTTCTGTAATTTTTTATCCCTCTTATTGTGTCTTTCAGGATCTCAAGACGAAGAGGAAGATTGGTACGGGGCATGAAGTTGGTGGCCTATATTACCTTGACTTTGATTCATCTACCCGAGCTCTACAGACCTCGTTGTCTCCTTTTCAATGACATTGTCATCTTGGACATCCTTCTCTCCAGAATCTGAAACGCCAAGTTCCCAGTCTTAGTTATGTGTTGTCTTTGTCTTGTGAAGCTTGTCAACTTAGTAAGCATCACCGTGTGTTATTTCAGTCTAGAGTCAATAATCGTGTGTCTAGTCCATTCTGATGTATAGGGTCCAATAAAGAATATTTCATCTAATAAATATCCTTATTTTGTGACATTTTTGGATGACTATTCTCGTGTGACTTGGTTATTTTTGATGAAAGCTCGGTCTAAAATATTCTCTATATTTGAGACTTTTTGTAAAGAAATAAAAATTCAGTTTGGTTGTCGTATACGCACTTTACGTTTCGATAATGCTCGGGAATATGAATCTGATCCCTTTTTAGCTTATCTTAGTAAAACTGACATTATTCATCAGACTTCTTGTACTTATACCTCTCCACAAAATGGTGTTGCTGAACGCAAGAACCGCAATTTGTTGGAAGTCACCCGTGTCTTGTTATTCCAGATGAATGTTCTCCGATATCATTGGAGTGATGTTATTCTTACTACTTGTCATCTTATTAATCGTATGCCCTCCTCTATGTTAAATGGACAAAGTCCATATTCTGTTCTGTTTCCTGGTAAGTCCTTATTTTCCTTAACTCCTAAGGTTTTTGGTTGTGTCTGTTATGTTCACAATTTGGTTCCTGGATTTGACAAACTTGACCCTCAAGCTACTAAATGTGTATTTCTTGGTTACTCCCGCACGCAGAAGGGATATCGTTGCTACAGTGCTTCTCTGCACCGATACTTTACTAGTGCGGATGTCACATTTGAAGAATCTGCTCCATACTTTTCAGCACCTTCTCAGCCTTTGGATCTGGACTTTGGCTCCTCTCTTGTACCACCATCAGATATTCCGTTGCCCACTGTGTTACCATCTATTTTACCTCTCTGTGTCTATTCTCGCCATCCTCGCCCATCGACTGAAGTGCCGGTACCGCCTTCTTTACCGCCTTCTGATCCTGGAACATCAGGTAATTTAGATTCTTTACCTATTGCTCTTCGCAAAGGTACTCGTTCGTGTGTTACTAATTATTCTATTTCTCATTTTGTTTCATATGATGTCTTGTCTCCTGTCTGCTCTTGTTTTTCTTCCCAATTATCTGCGATATCTATTCCTAAGCATTTACATGATGCATTCTGATCCAAGGAAAGTTATGAAGGAGGAGATGGATGCTTTACATTATAATGGGACTTGGGATCTCGTTTCTTTACCCTTTGGTAAACGAACTGTTGACTGTCGTTGGGTGTATATTATTAAATTTCATCCAGATGGTTCTGTGGAGCGTCTCAAAGCCTGGCTTGTTGCAAAGAGCTTTACTCAAACTTATGGTGTTGATAATGAGGAGACTTTTTCTCCTGTTGCCAAAATTTCATCTGTTCGTATCTTGATTTCTTTGGCTGCTAATCTTGATTGACCCTTGTTTCAGTTAGATGTCAAGAATGTCTTCTTACATGATGATTTGGTTGAAGAGGTCTACATGGAGCAGCCACCTGGGTTTACTGCTCAGGGGGAGTATGGTAAGAGTGTATGTCGGTTAAAAAAATCTTTGTATGGTTTAAAGAAGTCACCGAGGGCATGATTTGGTAAGTTTTCAGATGCAGTTTTAGAGTTTGGTCTTCTTCGATGTCAGACAGATCATTCTGTGTTTCATAGGCAGACAGATGCTGGCTATGTCCTATTGGTGGTCTATGTAGATGATATTGTGATTACTGGAAATGATTCTGAGGCATACTAAGGATTTGGGAAAACTCAGGTATTTCTTGGGTATTGAGGTGGCTTGATCTAAACAGGGTATTTGTTCATCTCAGAGGAAATATGTACTTAACATGCTTGAGGAAACAGGTTTGCTGGGTGGTAGACCGATTGATGTTCCTATAGATCCGAATCAGAAATTATTGATGAATGATGGTGTATTGTTTGAGAATCCGGGTCGGTATCGCAGATTGGTTGGAAAGCTTAATTATCTCACTATTACTCGACCGGATATTTCCTATGCAGTCAGTATAGTAAGTCAGTTCATGGGATGTCCTAGAGTACCACATTGGGAGGCAGTTACTCGTATTCTGCAATATCTCAAACGAGCTCCTGGACTTGGACTGTTATATCGAGCTAATGGACATCTTAGAGTGGAAGGTTTCTCAGATGCTGATTGGGCTGGCTCTCCTTCTGATCGGAGATCAACCACTGGTTATTGTACTTTCCTAGGAGGTAATGTTGTCTCATGGAAAAGTAAGAAACAACCCATGGTAGCAAGATCCAGTGCTAAGGCTGAGTATAGGGCAATGACACATACGACGAGTGAGTTGACTTGGCTACTACGCTTCCTCTAGGAAATTGGATTTCCAGTTCAACTTTCTTTACAGTTGTTCTGTGACAACCAGACAGCTATCCATATCGCTGCCAATCCTGTGTTTCATGAGAGAACCAAGTATATTGAGGTTGACTGTCATTTTATTCGGGACAAGATAGTAGTTGGGGAGATTATAACTCCATTTGTGAAATTTGAAGATCAGCTTGCAGATATATTTACCAAAGCATTGAGTCGTACAAGTCTTACAGATATTTGTTGCAAGCTTGGATTATATGATATATATAGTCCAGCTTGAGGGGGAGT